CTAATACTACATACTATACATATATATATATATATATATATATATATATATATAATATATATATATATATATAGGTTTTAATTTAGAAATTAGGTGTTAACTAAGAGTCTAAAACTATTAGAGATAAACAATCTACAATTATCAGTTCTTATTGCCAACACACAGACAATAACAACAAGACTTTGGTAGCCAAACATTGAATAAGTAAAGATCTCATCATTCTTTCCATTTGTATAGCATCTTTGGTGCAATATTATTCTGTATTGGTCATTTGGTCTCATTGGAGACAAGGAGCCTGAGTACAACTGTACGAAGTATGGACCATAGAGTATGGTGTATGGACACTGAATCACTGACACACAATGTACTAGCATTCTTTTTTCACTATATTAGTTATTCAAACAAGCAAAATTTTCAATTATTTGAACGTGATTCAACTTTCACCCACACATATTTGTATGGAAGTTAGTTAGACTACATAAATATGCAAACTTAACACATACATAGGCACATATGTGCGTTTGAACAGCACATATATGCATAAGTGTACATCTCGCACCTCCGGTTATGGGCAGCCACCTACGCATTGAGCGTCCTAGACCCAACACCCCACACCCCCCCCCTCCCTCCCACCAAGGTGCCTAGGGGCCACCCAGCGTCTTTTTAAACCTTGGGGTAAGAAAAATTACATCCTAATGGCTAGTGGCGTCGGAGCCATTTAAGATAAGGGACAATCTTTTGTCGTCCAGTCTCTTGGAGTATGTTTCGAGCCACAAGTCTATCATAATTCTCTTGTACAGTCTTCTACTTTATTCTCATTCTATCATAGATTTTGGAGGTTCCAAAAGAAAATTTACACATGATCCACAGGAAGAAATTTTCCTTTGAACTTTTTTTAATCTTTTTCTAGTAAAAAACTTCCCCCCTTTAATTTGCGAAGTCAAGATTATTCAACTTGTTCCAACCAGGCCACAGTATACTCACACAGCCTAGTTGCAACAAGTTAAGTGTTTGCTCCCAAGCAGTTCACTCCATTCAAAGAAATTTTCTACAATAGAATCCTTGATGTGAAGCATATTATGGAGCTCAAGGAGATTGACCTAATACCAAGATCTCATCGACACTCCATAGGTTGTGTTTCTTGCCTCAAAATTTGCTCATACGAGATCGGTATCAGGAGTCAATTGAGATGCTCGATCGAGATTTGGTGTCAAATTACGAGCACCTTCTTCATAGCAATGAATATTTCTAATTGTTATAACAGCGGATTCATTTCCACTGATATTGGCTCAAAGATCTTCCATGGCTGGATCTGTGCTCACTTTAATTTGCTAATTCACAACCTTCATGATTTTTGTTAGTATATCCTCAATCACAAGAGCAGCCTTCAGCAACATTTTGATGGATGAATCTTCTAAAGCTTTGGTACCACTTAACATAGGAAAAAGAGAGAGAAAAAAAGAATAGGAAAAAATAAGGGGAGAATATACCCTCCATCTACCCAAGTTTAATACTCGGCTCATGCTCTGGACAGCGACCCCTGCCCAAGCCCAGTAACTCAGGCAAGTCCAAGTACTATAGGATAACAAAAACGCCTTGCAAAAGCAAAAAGTAAAAATAAAAATCCCAAAAATTCAAAAAATAAAAAAGGTGCGAATAGATTTGTGTGGTGAGAGAGAAAGCATTGGGGAAGAGAGAGAGAGAGAGAGCATTTGAGGAGAGCGAGAGAGAGACATTACTAGGTAGAGAGAAATGAAAACATGGAGCAGATTCCCGTCCCCTTTTAGAGAGAGAGAAGTGAAAAAGGGAGCATATTTCTGCCCCCTTTCAGAGTGAGAAGTGAAAAGGGGGCAAATTTTCTGCCCCTTTTAGAGAGATGAAAATAGGGGGTGGATTTCCACCTCAACTTTAGCGTGAGATAAATGAAAAAATGGGGGTAGCTTTCGGTCCACTTTTAGAAAGACAAATGATATCATGGGGTGGATTTCCGCCTGACGACAGTACAGGTTCCCAAGTAGGTACATGGGAACTCGCATCAGATACTGTCAAAAGCCACATGACTGACTTGAGTCCAACTCGACCCAGTCCAATTTTCAAACCTTGAGTCCACCAGAAATAGATCTTTTGAGTTTTCACAAGGCCCAAAAATCAAATATCATTATCTTCGTATCTTTTCCTAGTCTACCATATACATATTATAGGGAGAACCATAAAACCCTAACCTGCCCCATAATAAACCCTAATCAATATCTAATCTTCTTCTCAAAATTAAGATTTCATCGATATTCCTCAATTCTCTACAACTAAAAAAAAACTCAAATGCCCTAAGATTTCTCAAAAGACCAAATTCTCTCTCTCTCTCACTATATATATATATATATATATATATATATATATATATATACAATGAAGCGCTAACTAATATACGAAGAACTAGTGGAGAGACGAGTGAGTCTTCAATGACAATAGTTCTACATAAAAGGTCAAGATTGAGCCCATACCTATTTGTCTTAGTTATGGGTGACTTAAGTAGACACCTACAAGATTAGGTACTGTGGTGCATGTTGTTCGCAGATGACATAGTTTTGATCGCTGAGACCCGTAACGACTTCAACATAAAGTTAAAACTTTGGAGGGATGCTCTACAATCTAAAGGTTTTAAAATTAGCCGGATTAAGACAGAGTATATGGAATGCAAGTTTAGTAATAATAGAGTAGAGACGAGAAAGTAGTTAATATCGACGACCACAAAATACCGAAAAGAGCGCACTTTCGATATCTTAGGTTGATAATCCAAGAAAATGGAGAGATTGAGGAAGATGTTGCACATAGAATTAAGCTAGGTGGGCGCAGTGGAGATGTGCAACCAGAATTTTATGCGATCCCTGCATACCAATGAAGCTAAAGGGTAAGTTTTATAGGACAGTTGTGAGACCAGCTTTGCTCTATGGAAGAGAATGTTGAACAGTCAAAAAAAATATACCCATAGAATGAGTTTAGAGGAGATGAGGAGGTTGAGATGGATGAGTAGCAAGACAATAAGGGATAGAATTCGAAATGAATACATTTGAAAAAATTTAGGTGTGGCACCAATAGGTGATAAGATAAGAAAGGGTAAACTTGGGTGAGTTGGTCATGTGTAGTGCAGTCCAATACAACACCTATTAGGAGGTGCGTGTTAGTTAAAGTGGAAAGCTCAAAAAGGACAGGGGATAGGCCCAAAAGGACATAATTGGAAGTAGTGAGAAAAGATATGGGGACTTGTGGCCTCACTGAGCATATGGCCCTTAATAGAGCAAAATGGCGGACCAAAGTTCATGTAGCCGACCTCAATTAATTCAAAAACTTTGACCATGGTGATGGTGATATACATATATTATGGCACCCAATCCAATTAGAAATTTTGAATATCTCATTATCTATTTCTATTTTTGGGCCAAATTATCTTCTCTTATATCACTTGCTATTTGGGCCCAAATTCAATTTAAATTTATGAAATTTTATTTATCTCTTACTATTTAAGACACGATTCAATTTAAAATTATGAACAACTCTACTTAAAATTATGAAATTTTCTTTAACCCATTCAACTTAAACTGCATTCAATGTAAAGCCTACAATATACAATTATAACATTAATCAATAGAATATATGTGTACCAATGATTTTTTGTACCAATGATTTTTTCAATGAACTACCCACATAATGTGGGTAGCACAATAAAAAAAAAGAATCAGCTAGGTCGAGCGTGTGTACTAGCCTTTCCAAAGTAGGGGGCCTAGACAAAGCACATCCAAGCTTAGGTCAAGGCCACTGCATGCAACCACAGTTGCTTCTGACCAATCATCTATTCCTTCATTTCAGTTTGAGTAAATTTGTTTTGATGTGCATGAGTCTATGCAACCACAGTTTCTTCTGACTGATCATTTATCCCTTCATTTCAATTTGAGAAAATTTATTTTAATGTACATAAGTCCTTCTACGTTCTCCAAGTTCAGAAATATTGATCCTTGTCTAACTATATATTCATTTCAGCAAAATTTAAATCAATAAGCAAATAGGGGAAAATTTCTAAAAAAGGAAACAATCATGTCTTGAATTGTTCTAAAACCCGCATTCACCCTTATAGACCAAATACACTTCCCCATTAAAGACAACCTTCATATTTGGTATTCCAACCACAATCTTGAAATAGGAACCTCATGATCAAGGGTACCAAGCAAAACCTTCCCACTTTGAGTTCCTCAATGCAGTGAGATATATATAAAGACTGGTTTGTGATCAACATGTAAGCATGTCCTTGAGCTGAGAGAGGTGATAGGCATGATACTCAGATATGTAAAGGATGATATAGGGTAAAAACTAGGGGAAGTAATGTAGGTGAAGCAGCAATTAAGATGTGATACACGTGCAAAAGAATGTATCTTCAAATAAAGAAAATAAATTTATATGCATATGACCAAGTGCTACTTATCAAGGATGGCAAGGTCAAGGACAGTGGTTAAGTTCCCACTCCCACATGAGATTCAACTGCACCCAAAATAAAAACTCATATTTGGGGGTAAAAACAACAATCCACAAGTCCACATAATACTAGAATCCACATTCTAGTAAAAAATCAGAAATTTAATAACCTACAACTCCTAATAATATCTAAGCCAAAATTTGACCGGCTTTAAGCCTACATTCCTCATGCCCATTAATATAGAAAAATATTCACTCCACAGAGTATACCTTTCCCAACAAATCCGAACAAAGTTTAATGAAACCAACCATTATTGATCTTAGCCACCATTAAAAAAGGGGTAATTCAGCAAGACTCGGCCAAGTCCACTAGGACTATACTGAGTTGGTTGGTCTAGCCTTGTGGGCGAGGCACGTTTGCCCAAGTAAGTTCTATACCCATGAATACATAGTATATCAAAAAGAATATGACAGTTGTCATCCGAAAACATTGAAACAAAGCGTTTGCATTTATTGGTCCCCATGGTGGAGGTTTGACTCCCCTCAAATGCTGTCCTCCCATTTTGAATGATTAGCCTTCAGTTAGTAGGACATATAGCTCGTTTTTATAGCATATAAATAATAATTTTTATTTTATTCCATAATGTTCAAAGAGCTTATTGGCTAGCAATTTGTTAATTGTGCCTCATTTTGGAGGTTCAGCCCCCCTCAATCATTGCCCTGTTTTTAAGCGCTTCTTGGCTAGCAATTATGTTAATTGTGCCGCATTTTGGAGGTTCGACCCACCTCAAACATTGCCCTGTTTTTAATGCCCAGCTGGATTTTTAATGCCTAGCCTTCTAGGTCCTTTATTTAAGAGGACATATAGCCTTTCTTTCCTTTTTCTTCTTTTCAACAAATTCCAAAAAAGGAGAAAAAAAAAAGGTGCAAATGAGATGGTTGGATCCCTGGACCTCATGTAAAGGGGGAAACTATCAAACCAATAAGCCCTTTTAAGCTTGTTGTAAAAGTTAAAGTATGTCATATAATACAACTTTTTTTTTTTTGAACTCAGTCTAGACTCGAGCGAGTCACTCAAACTTGCCTCAGCAAAGGGGTAAGTACCTTAGCCGAGGTGAGTTCCAGCACACTAGTTTCAAGCCAGGCAGCCTATTGCCAAGCCAGAACCTCCAAGACACTACAAAGGCTGCAATGCACACGGTCTTCAACTCTAAAGGGTTCACAAAAGAAAGAACTGCAGATAAAAGCACTAAGACTACAAAGCACATGACCTGCACCTATCGACTAGTACAGATACAACAAATACCAAGTTTAACAACTACTAGCGAATCTTTGAGTACATTACTAAGCCTTCAAACTGGAACATTATCTAGCTATCAAAATCTCCCACTTCAAGATTCACAATTACATAAACCTAAGCTTATAAAGCCTAAGGGAATTGATTCAAAGGGAAGAATCCCTAAACCTAGAATGCATATTATCTTTGAAATGCTAGAAGGTCAACAATTATATATGCATTCATATAGCTAAAAACAACATAGTTGGATGTAATGTAAAAAGCTATATAGTTGGATGTAATGTAAAAAGATATGGGGAGGGTATGGCCTTGATAGAGCAAAATGATGGACTAGGATTCGTGTAGTCTACACCAAATAGTTGGGAAAAGGCTTTTAATGATGATGATGATGATACCTAATAACAATCCTAGAAAAATTAACTATAACCAATCAGACAATGCATGTTCTATTGTACTCCTCTATGTTCAAAGCTGAGACTATACTTTCTTATGGACAAAATAGGTATAAAAACTAAACCCACACAATGAGCAACTCAAACACAGCTGAAACCCAACGTACATTGAGCCTGCATTGGAAACTAACTTTTACAGTAAGCAATGACAACTAATTTAAGACCAAAATTTCATGCAAACACATAGTTCAAAACAACAGTATAAGCTTGAGCATGTCCATGCCCCACGTCAACTAGAAACCTGAAAAACAACAATAGAGACTAAAAGAGCACAATCAAAACCCTAATGAAAACACAAGAAATCAGAACAAAACCCACCACAACCAGAATCAAAGGATCAACAAAAAATAGACAAAACCCACTAAAAGGGGCAGCAAATGTAGCCAAAATAGGACCGATAATAGAGAAACTCAGGGCGAAGAAAAATAAGAAACGAACCTTGATTGAGCAGCTTCTGAGCAGTCTCGTTTGGATCCATATTCGACTCTTTTAGGGTTACATAAATATACTCATCAGAGTGGTTTCCAACGATCTCTTTTATGGACTGGATAGTGCGCTGTACCTTAGCAGGAAGAATATCGGAAGTTTCTGTTTCTGCCCTTGGACCAGAAACCATTTCCGGCAGGGACAAGGGCTAGGATGGTCAAAAAGCAGGGGCCTTCGATCGTGAAGAGAGAGAGTAAGAAACAGACACACACAGAGGATGAGGAGAAGGGATTTTCAGGGAGATAAGAAGAAGAAGGAGAGAGGAAGCTCTATGAATGGGGATGGGAAGGGCGGCATCCCTTGAAAAATACAGAGAGAGAGAGAGAGAGGCCGGGAAGAATCGGCGAAAATCCGAGTTCGAGAGAGAAAAAAGGAGAGGGAGAAAGAGGGTGAGGGTTTTGAAAAGGGGGCGGCTAGTGAAATGGCATCGAGTTTGGAGATGGAATTAGGCGCGTAGCCTTGACCCTACTTGTACTGCTGTTACACAACCCTAATGACTTTCTCTCTCTAACCCTAATGTTTTCTCTCTCTAATCTCTAATGACTCTCTCTCTTAATCTCTGTAAATCATTTGAGGACCTCTGCTATCACCACCTCTCTACGATAACTTGGCTTTCGTGAAAAGTGTTTGTGCTCTCGCGGGACCAGGGTGTGAATTTGCTCCCTCTGGAAAAACTCAGCTCGGCCTACTCTTTTAGACCCCAATTTTAGGGAATGCAACGTACAGGACCCGATAATCAATCTCAAAGAGAAAAATAATAACAATAGTAATATAATAACAATAGTAATAGGACTTTTATGTAGGTGTGGCAATGGACCGGACCTGACTCAGGCCCCATCGGTATACCCGACATGGGTCGATTATGGGTCTAGCATTTGCACCCGACAAGTCAGGTTCGGGTCTAAAACCTCGACCTGAATCTATTCGGGTCTGGCTCCAGGTCCAGCCGGACCCGACCCATACGTTTACCTCCCCTGTGCCTTAGAAAGAAAAAAAATAAATAAATGTCCCAAGTAAGTACTACCCAATTTTTGGAAGGAGAGATGCAGATGTTTAAGAACTTAAAATCCAACTTTTGTAGAAAAATAATCATAGATGATGTTTAGATGGATTCCTTAATCAAAAAATTTCCAAGTTACTCTTTTACCCGAAGGAGTTGTTATACAATGTGCTCCTGCGGCAGCATGCTACACGCACCCCTTCATGTGTTACCATTGAGTTTGAGTTCATGGCATATCATACGTTATCTATACACTTAACTCTCATGAAGGCAGAAGGATTTTTTATCTTTTGGAATGCACTTGATGATCACTAGATCATCATTTTAAAGAAAAGTTGAAATTTGAATTCTTAAAATGATGTTATTTACTCATGGCAAATGTACAATCAATTTTAATTTTTTTCTTTTTCTTGAGGTTGATCACTATCAGGTTACATCCCCATGGAGTCCCAAAAATACTTTTAGTTTGCATTTTACCAGAGACAAATTAACAATATGATCCTACAAAGTAGAAACTATTTAAGATATATATTTATAAGATGGACAATATTGTTCGGTAATTATCATCCTCAAAACTTTTTCTCAACTAATTGGAGTTGGCTACATGAATCTTAGTTAATCATTCTGCTCTATTAAAAATTATATATCGTTTAGAGCTAAATCAAACTAGAGCCATATTCCAATAGTCAACTTCAATCCCACTTCAAAAAAAATTATTCACCGTATGTACAAGAGAACATGATTCAAATTTTATTTGACTAACATTTATGATCAACTTAAGAAAATGATTTTAAAATTTAAGAGAGGAGTTTATGGACTATGGAGCACGGTATACAAATTTATAATAAGTTTTCCTCTTCAAAAAGGAAGAAGTTACCCTTGTGTTCAAGTCTAAAACCAAAGAATGTTTAGTTTGATTACAATAAAACTAATTAAATGTATTCAGTACCTGAAAGGGAAATTTATCAAGATGAATTTCATTGGATGAATTATTAAACATTTGATCCATCTCTTTTGATTTAATTTCAAAAACCAATTAAAATGCACGTGATCATGAGTTGAAATTGTTGAAAATGAGTAAAATGTCAAATAGTTAATAAATTAGGTGTGTTTTGAAAATTTCTAAATTAATTTTGATAAAACAAGTAAAATGGTTTCTTGTTTCTTATTTCACGAAATGAACACACCCTTCTACTTATGAAGAAAACCCATGGTAATTGAGAAAAATTATTTATGACAATACCCTCCAAATTATTATATAATGGCATAGGATAAAATTTGAATTCATTTTAGATACAACTCAGATTGTAAATATGCCTAGCACTAAATATATATAATGTCAATTTTTGGGAAATAATAAATACAAAGTCTATTATTTTTTATAAAAATAGAATTTGGTTAAATTTATTTCCAATATAGTATATGCATAAATACACAAATGTATCGGCAACACGCGTCATTGCACGCTTCTTCTAATTGGAGCATATTCTTATATAAGTGTCGTGTATTTATAATATAAGTGTCATCACGAATTACCCAAAAAAAAAAAAGGGGGAAAATTTCGTACGACCCCTAATTCCTCATCTTATTTCACGGTAGACTTTTTTTCTATTTTTCTTTCAAGCAACATAAAAAAACCCTCGAGTATTTCACCATACTCCTAATCTCTTTTCTCTCACGCTTATTCATTTTTTGCCATAAAAACTAACCCCAACAAATTATTTTATTTCATCTCAATCCAAAGCCCTTTTAACCTTATTTGTTTTTTTTTTTTTTTCAGTTGTAAGTCTTGTTACTGTGACATGCTTGGCTAGATAACTTTGTAATTGAAAAGTTATTGCATGGGCCATAAAATGTTTATTTAAGCTGTTTCTTTATAAAATGAAAAAAAATACAAAATCGGGGTAAAAAAAATTGATATGGAATAAAACAATTTGTTCGGGCTATTTTTTTGGGCCAAAAGTGACGTGGGAGAGAAGAGATGAGAGGGTACGGTGAAATACTTGAGGGTTTTTTTATGCCGTTTAAAAGAAAAATAGAAAGAGGGTCTATCATGAAATAAAATGGGGAATTAGGGGTCTATACGAAAATTTCCCAAAAAAAGTGTCTTCACGTTATTGTTAAGATGTGTTATAAAAGATGATTGCCTTTTAATGCTGGTAATCACCCAATGTGTTTTATTAAATTTTGTAATGGAGTTTTTTTTTTTTTCGGGAAGTGATTTCATGCAACGGTTCTATTAGATATAGAGTTTAGTAAATTCACAATATTCATCCAAGGGCCAAATTACCAAAATGTCAATCAAAAACTAAAAATATTAGTCCTATGAATATTACACCCAATGCGACTAAATCTTAGACCATCTTCTCATAAATTTAACAAGCTTTCCAATGGTCCAAGTTCCTTGTCAAATATACATCACTATGGAGTAACTTTTCATTCTCAAATAACTTATGAATGGAAGAATTGGTCCAATAGATATGGTTGATCTTTTCTTTTGGGAAAGGGGTTGGGATCGTGGTAGTAGCACTTCTATACTACAGTAACTACATTGTAGTTTTCATTTCCACTAATACTACCCCACTAACACCTTCAAAAACTAACTTCTAAACTATTTGAAAAAATAAATAGGGCATGTCTTCCCCATTGAATTATCCAAAAAATAAACAAAAAAAACCGATATGGTTGATCATACCTTCCACCAGGTCACCAGATGTTATGTCTATTCGTCCCACAACCTCAAAAGGTTATTCTGAAGATACTCTTATGCAGTGGTACACAAATCAACATGCTTCAATTAGGAAATCTATAACTTTTAATTAGAATCTAAATCCATATTCATAACATATGAATAATCTCCTCTAGCGATGGTCAAGGTTCTCTATTTTTGGGCATTTAGTTGATCATAAATTTTTTAGCCTCCACCCTTGCCTCTAAACCCAATTCCAGTCAAATTTTCTCTAATCCATTTTATTTATCATTCAATTTGGGATCATCTCCAACCCATATATATTTATTCAATTTTCATTCACTCCAAGTGCTGGACACCAAGCCCAACAAGCTATTTTCCTTTTCTTTTCTTTATTTCTTAGATGCATCTTCATTTTAATCTTTCATTATATTTCAGATACTTTGTAGTTTTGCTCTCAATTTTATGTAGCACTAGTGATTTATTGATCCATTTCCAAATATTGTATGGTCACAACTTACATGGTGCACATGTATGGTAATATATGCTTTTGGCTAGACTTCCTCTCCTTGGGATCTATATAAAATTATCTTGATATCTCTAGTGAGCCCCCAAACCAGTCCACTTGGATTTGGTTGCAAATATCTTTTTTATATAGAGTTAAGATAAAGTCTTAATTTATTGGGCCTCTTTAATTTTAGGGATTGATTCCAAAAAGATTATTTATTTATTGTAAATGAATGTCACAATCATTCTTACTCATTAGATCTCAAATTGGATGGCTTGCGATGAGTCATAAAGTCCTAGATTTTTTTTTTAAAACTTTCCGCTTATTTAGTGACAATCTTACAACCACCCATTTTGAAATTTAAGGGACAATCTTACAACCACCCATTTTAAAATTTAAGGGACAATAATGATCGTGACCTTTATATACAAAAGATAAATGATCTCTTTGTAGACACTCCCTTAATTTTAAAAATGTGATACTTTTCTAGTTATGACAATTTATTAAAGAAAAAAATTTCATTGAAATAAGTGTTAAAGGAAAAAAAAAATATTTCCATGATGCTCCCAATAAATAATGTTTCCTTGGCATGAACAAGTTGGAGATGCATTATTACATTTTGGACTACTATAGGTTTCAAGCAAACATAAAGAATGTGACATTGCATGATTTCTTATTATCTAGGAAAATATTTCATGTAATATTCGTTAATCCCAATATAACCCCATAACGACCTCTATAACATATAAATGCAAAAGTACTCTAAAATATACATTTAAAAGTGTATTTGTGTTGACCTATGCATTGCATCAACAGTGTCATATAAATTGTTCATTTTTACAAATTGTGCTCATGTTTGAGGTATTTTTTATGACTGAGCCCTTGAAGGTCGTTTGGATCATTGGGTATGCAACCCCCGGTCTTAACTTATAACTAGATTATGCCAGACCCTGGGTATACCAAACCTGGTTATTAAGACATAGTTGTTTGGATAGATTTTGAATGGAACTCAAGTTATGCAAAATCTCTTATCTGTGTGATTTGTTTGTTACAAGCTTGCATATTTATTGTTTACAATTATTTGTTAAATATACTCACATATTATTACAGTTATAATAATAATAATAACAACAATAATAATAATACTAAATAATGTGTGAATAGTTTGTATAATATTTATTATTAATATATTATCATTATTTTCTAATAATGAGCGCTCTAAATTTTAAGTAATTTGAATTTGTAGTTAAAAAATGACACAAGATTATGGTCATTAGATCGGCCCACATTGATTCAATATAGGGAATTAGGTGTATACTATTGCTTCAACCCTTGGGTTGATA